TTTTCTCTGTTCTTTCTCTTTATATTCTGATTCTAATATAATATGAAAAAGATATACGGACAAACAAAAGAAAATCAAAAGCATTAGAATTATAGAATTAAAAATCTATTATGTATAATAATATGGTACATATTTTTATAGCATACATAATATTAAAATGTAATATATGTATGTACATAATATGTGTTTATATAAAATGAAAACGAACTATATACATATAAACCTACATCATTTGTATTATTAAAGATAATGTACATATAAAATAAAAAACATGCCTATATGATATGACCCAAGACATCAAATACACATACACAAATTACATATATATATATATATATATATATATATATATATATATATAATATGTATTATATACATATCTACAATCTCATATTTTTTAAAATATTAATACTCTTCTTAAATATCTCTTTATGCACGTATGTACATATGTATTAATAGAAATGAAATACAATAGGAAATGAAAGAAGAAATTTCATGAATGCAAACTATAACTTTTCCATAACTTTAAAAAAATTAAATATTAATATACTTAACTATATGAAGGTAGAATATATTTTGCAATATATAATAATATTAGGGTTACCATATATTAATAACAAAGAGTTACAATTCATTCGTTTTCCTATGTAAATTTTTCAATATTTTTAACAATTTTAAAGGATAAAATCAGAAAATTCAACTGTCCAGAATTTAGCTCATAAATGTAAACATCTGATAGGCTGAATATTGCAACATATAAACATGACATTAAAATTTAAATTTTGACACGAATTAAGAATTGAATTCAGCTGATGAGTTGTAATTTCTGAATTGTACAGAAATACGATATTAGAGAAATTTTCAAGTCACACTGCGGTATCATTAATTTTAAAATTCTATCCAAAATAATTAGTTTAACGAAAAATAAATATTGTATTTTTTTCTGCAATCTGCAAATATTCTAGCCATTTAAATCAAAATTAATGTACTATTATATATAATATAAAAATTATATTCAATTTTTATTTAAAAATAAACTCCAGGAATATTAAACTGCACGTGTATGTGAACCATGTGCCTAAATTAAATTCTCGTGTTTGATTTATTAAATATACATAGTTGGCCAACCTTGCACATTATTATTATTGTGTCTATCAGACTATCAGATACTAAAAAAAATTTTTTGTATATTATTCATACATATATACATACATACATATTCTGTAATAAAGAAAACGCATATGATTTCAGAAAAAAATTAATAATAATTTTCTTTAGTTTTTACTCTCCTTGAATTCCCTATATAAATGATAATATATAGCACACAAAATCTAGAAGAAACTTTTATATTATATACAAAATTTACATATAAATATTTATTTAATGATATATACATAAATTCTTATATAATATAACACAAATACAATATTAAATATATATGAAGAAGATTAAAAGGAAAATTATAAGAAATCAAGGAATATTTACCTATTACATATCCATATATACCAATAAAATTTAATATATATATATATATATACAAATAGGTAGTTTATTTAAGTCGTATATACATATATATGCATAATAGCTCTATATATATACCACCCTATTCCTATATATTGTATATATGAATAAAATACATAAAACATACACTATATTAAAACTATAACATTTCTGTTTAAAAATTGCTTTTACTACTATATATAACACATATCTTTATATATATATATATATATATATATACTATATTGGGATGCAATGCAACGAACTGACTTGCATTGCATTACATTAAGAAAAATTGCATTTCATGCACCACACATTATTTATTATGTGTATGCATGATTGTATACCTACGAAGTATATAAAATGACGCGTTCAACTGATGCTAGTTTTAATAGGCCTCAACCGAAAATATTGTATATACCTATATATATATCAACATTATAAACAAAATGTGTACTACATTGCAATATAAAATGTATAACATAGAATGAAATGAGAAAATGAAAAGAAAATTCAAACGATAAAATATAAAATAAAATAGAAAGAACACACAAAAAACAAAAAAAAATATTATTTTTAAAGAAAAAAATTTTGTACACAACTAAAATTAAAAAACTATGCAACTCTATAAAAAAAAACCATAAAAATAAAAATAACACAAAGTTTGAACATATAGAAAGAAGGTAAAAAAGACGCCAATGACCACATAGATGCAAAATATAGGACAACAAACTTTGTGACAGTCAAGACTTGGGTTAAACCAGTCATCAGTTGGTGGTTGGTTTTATAGTTTTCTTCATATTGTTTTTTTTATTTTTTTTATCTTTTATTATTATTATTTTTCTGAGAGTGTATAACATTATGTATATAGCAAGGAAAGGAGAAACAGATTGTATTATAAAAAAAAAGTACCAAATAGGAATAGTACAAAAAAAAAAAAACAAAAATGACAAATAAAAATTGAGTGTTCATAAAAGAAATTTTGCGATACACAAGAATATTGGAGGCCTGCATGCATGCATTCAAAAGAATCTTTTTTTTTTGTGTTGCATTTTATTGTTGATATTGCTATCATTATTGTTGTGTTATTGTTGTTGTTGTTGGTGCCTTTAACTTTTTAGTTTTACATTTTTTTCTTTATTTTTTTTTTTCTTATTCCTCTTTTATTTTTAAATTTTTTTGTGTTATCCACAATAATGTTTCCGTGGTGCTCGTTTTATTTTATATTTTGTTTTTAATATATCGTACTATATATATAGTTAGAATACAATTAATTATGTATATAGATATTCTATAGAGATATATAGAGGAGTAGAATATATCATATTATATCAATGTAGGTACACTATAATAATATTTGTATACTTGTAAATTATATTTATGTAAGATGTACCTACATATATAACACTTATATTTTTATAGAATACAAAAAGTATACACATATTTATTTTTTATATAGATTATTTTGAATATAAAGGGATTCCTTTTTATTATAGATTAAAGTTATTTAAAAAAAAAAACCAAAAAGAAAAAATAGATAGAAAAATAAAGACAAGAAAAAGGAAGATTATATAAAAATTAAATGTAAAAAATAAAGAACAAAAAATATAATAATAAAATATAGAGAAGAATCAATATAAATTTTGTTAAAATAATAATGTGTAGATAATAGCAAAATTGTTATACACGCATACAAATATACATATGCATATACATAAATGTTATATAAAAAAATTTGATAAAATATATTCGAGAGCGATTTAATTAGACTTGCAAAAACTATCATAGAAATCATATTTTTGTTCCAATATTATTAATAGTTATAATATTTATTAATAATTAAAGAATATCATTGAATTAAAACAAATTTAATTATAATATTTAACACAATTTAAAGAAAAAATTGTTTTATAAATTAAGAGCCAAAATATGCTTTCACAATATATGTATGTGCATAAATATTAGATGTAAACATGACGTACAATCAAAATTAGTGTCAGATGACACATTTATTTGCGATTATTATTGTCCAAACATTTGCAATATTTTCATTTGCGTTTGTAACTAAACAAGGTATGTTTATTATGTACTCTACATAATAAACATACTATTACTTATATATCATTATTGTACTCATATATATACATGTATGTACTTTACATTAACCTGCACAATAAATTTTATTAATCATAGAAGAAATTTTCTAATAAAAACATAAACGTATTGCTTTTCTAAAAGTGTAAACACAAATAAAACTCCAAAACAAAAATTTTCGAAAAATATTTAAAATATTCAAAAAGTAAAATATATATACATATATGTATGTTCAATATTTTATTTCATTTTTAATATCTTCAAAAATAAGTAATCGTCTTGACGAAATTGTTCATACGCAATTGTCAAATTGTTGACAAAATTCAATTTCTGAATAAAATTAATTGATTTAAGTGCAATTGTAATGTAATTATTTACCATAGTAACACTTTAGTAAATTTTTATCGTTGTTAAAATTAGGCTAAGAATAATATGAAAACAGTTATCTACACAATATAGGTATATATTCAAACCAAACATACCAACTTATCTTCAAACTATACCTTATTCAGCAACCAAAATTGTTAACATCAAGCTGATGTTAATTCAATATTTTGTTGGACAACCCAAAATCATATGAAATAATCTTAATAGCATAAAATATTTCTGTAAGTAAAAAAATAAACATTTGGAAATTTTGATTTATCAGTAAAATTAAAATTTGTAAATTTTAATAATATATTTAAAAAATTAAAACGCTGAAATATTTCAAAAACTGTAGAGGTAACAAAATTCTGTTACAAAATTAATTGGAATATCAAATTTTATTTTTTAATTTAACAGTCAAACTAAAGATATTTCAAAAGTAATCGAATAACGGAAAATTACATATATCAACAATATTAAGTATGTACAACAACCAGTTTTATAGTAAGTTATCGAAAATAAGAACCATTTAAATTAAAGTTTACGTTGGCAACTTAAATACAAAATTGAAAATAAAATAATGTCAATGTGGAATTTTTGAAAATTAACAAATTATAATATACATATATATATATAAATAATATTAGAACCATTGTTATTGTTTTCGAATTAAGTATTTATTTATTTTTTTAACTTTGTATAGCTTTAATTTTTCAGGTGGATGAAGAATTACAAGAAAAAATTATATTCAGTTTCATTTTCTTTATTGTTAAAGGCTTTTTATATAAAGAAATATATTTTGAACATTTTTAGTTTTTTAAGAGATATTGCATCAATTAGCACATTTTACGTATACTCGAATTAGAATGAAAATTAATTTTACTTTAATGTTCAAAAGTATTGAGGCATGATGGCAATAATGAATTGTTGTAAAAATATGACATGTAGTATAGCGTCTTTTTAGACGTATTTTTATTTAGTGTCTTGGGTGTCAGTAAACAAACTTCAAAAGCTGTCATATTAGTATCTAATAGAAATTTTTTCCAGTAGAAGTTTCGTAGTTTCCTAGTTTTCTTAAAATAATTTTTAGTTTACAAATGGTTGAATAATTCTTAGTCATTGAACTTTTGTTTTATTTTTTTTTCAAATTAGTGAATTAGTAAAAAATTAAATAGGAATGGCGGCATTTGATTCATCCAATGGAAGCAATGGCGATTGGATATGTCCGGATCCAGAGTAAGGAAAATGTCGAAAAAATGTATTTGGCGCTATAAAATTTCTAACTTTACCAATATATTATTTTTGTTTATAAACTATTTCTATGAACAAAATGGTAAAAAAAAAAAATAATTAAAAAAATATTTTGTGTTACACAAAACCTGTAGCTGCAAAAATTTAAACTTTTCACGACGTACTCATTGTAATCGGTGCCAAAAAGAAAAAGAATCCTTATCTGCAGGTCAAACAACTAAAAAAAAATTAGGTACCGAAATAGGAAAAGCAGCAGCAGAAAAAAGTAGAGGTTTATTTAGTGCAGAGGACTGGCAATGTAGTAAATGTGGTAACGTGAATTGGGCAAGACGCCAAACATGTAATATGTGTAATGCTCCAAAATTTACCGAAGTAGAAAAGCGAACTGGTTTGTATTTGTCTATTATTTTGTTTTTTTTTATGCCTATAAATTTTTTTAATAAAAAACATTTTTATCTTTAAGGATATGGAGGTGGATATAATGACAGAGGTGTTGTTGAATATAAAGAACGACGTGATTCTGATGATGATGAATATGATGAATTTGGAAGGAGAAAAAAAAGAAAGACAACAAACTTAGATAATAAAAAGAATATTAAGAAAGACTTAGATTTGAAAAATAGAAAACCCAGTGAAGTGAAAGCAAATGAAAAAAAAGATAAATATGATGTAGCAGATGATGATGATGAAGACGAAGATGATGAAGGTGGTGATTTGTCAAAATATGATTTATGGGGATCAGATAATGACGAAATAAATGATAAAAAATCTGACGCTAAAATAAGTAATGATGAAGTGTATGAAAGTAGAAATGATAATTCAAGTAGCCGAACGAGAGATTCACATACAAAATCCAGGTCAAAATCAAAATCACGATCTTCATCTAGCTCAACGTCATCATCATCTTCATCTGCAAGATCTTCCCGTTCGTCCGGAAGAAGCAACTCTCGTTATAGTTCTGATAAATCTCACAGAAAACGGGAAGAAAGAAGAAGCGATTATAATTCGAAGTACAAATACAAGTCGCGACCCAGATCATCAAGGTCAAAATCTTCAGATTCTTATGGTTCAAAAACGTCCATTCGTGATCGTAAAGATCGTTCCAGAAGTCGTAGTCGATCTAATAGGCACTAAGATTATTTTTTATATGGTTCAAAAAGTGAATTTTTTACAGCATTAGTAAAAAGTATTTTAAAGGAAATATTTTACAGAAAATATTATGGAATAAAAGCTTTCCTATTTTTGATATAAAAAAAAAAGGATAACACAAACAAACACTCAATAATCATTTTACTTTACTAATAGTTATAAACTTATTAGCTTTTGAAAATCTACCTTGTCAGAAATCCATTTTTAAAACAATTTGCAGGAATTTTAAATATGTATCAACTAAAGAATGTAATTAATTACTATGTTATGGAAAAATAAATTTTGCTGCAGCACTTAAAGTTTAATAAAAGAAATCTAATATTTCGATTCGAATTCTTTTTATTTTCCTAAATATAAAAAATTGTTTCTAAAATCTTAAAATAGGTTAAGGATTCAAATAAAATTTTTCAGTTAAAATAAAACAAAGATTTAAATAGAATTAATTTTATTTTAGCGCTCCTAATAGACACGCATTAAATTTCATAAAACTTTTTTAGTCCTCATATTAAATTTCATTCATTTCAATTCTTAAAACACTAAATACATAATTTTACTTAAAATATTTATAAAACTTTCAAAGCGAAATAAATATTTCAAAAGAATTGGTTCAAACTAAATTGACCTTTAAAAAATTTAGTTGAAATTTATTTTAAATCCAAAATCTTAAAAAAGTATAATACGAATGTTACCAAAAATGTAAATTTTTAATTATTTGTTTCCCTTTCTGCCAAAAACAACATAAAAATAATTTATTGTGTCTGAGAACAAAAGAGCATAAATCCCCGGTAAAACATCAGAAAACAAACAATAAAAATTTAATTATAGTACGCGTAAATCTAATTTTAGAATTTAAATAGAATGTTGTAGTATTAATGTTGAAACGTCATCATCATTATTAGAATTATTTCCTGCATCATCCTCCATTGGTGTTCTATTGTTAACCGAGTCCATTAATCTATCTATCTCATCATCTTCGTCGTCATGGCTGTCAGAATCATCTGTATCATCGTTTGCTATAAATAGATTTGTTTATTTATATGCTTGTATTAAAAGCGTCAAATTACCATCCTCATCATCAGTTTCTGGCCCACCAACCATTGTTAATGCTTTTCCTATAGGATTCAAATCTTGACCTAAACTTGAAATCGCATTTACCTTCAAAAACAAAAATTAATTTCATTTAATTCACATATCTAGGTCAAAACATTCTTACCTCATTTGTGTTTTCTCTTTCTAAAGCGAGAACTTCAGCATCCTCATTGCATGGCTCGTCTAAACATTTGAAAAATTTATTATCAAAACAAAATATTGTATTAATGTTTGTAATGTTATACCTATATCAAACCAAATATGATTGGCAGTGTGAGGTTTTAACGAAGGGAAAAATGGTATCATCGGCATTTTGAAATCAAAAACGATTTATAGAAAAAACTATTTGAAAAAAATTATAGAAATTATGTAAAATTTTTTTTTATTTACAAAAATTCTTATTATAGATTATTAATAACAAATTATGCTTTCTTTTTTTTTTTTGTATTCGTTTTCTTGGAGAAACTAAAAGCAAAACTGAAATATAATATAATAAATGACAACTTATAAAAATTCACAATAAGATAAGGTGTACGATTTTCATTCACAATATAAGACTTAGAAAAAATAGCTTGTACTCTATTGTTGGAATAATTATTACACTGTCAATTTTGATAACGTGACTGTTACCGGCTGTATATTCAATTTTGCGCTACTTTTGTATTAACTTACGAATGAAGTTTACAATTCCTAATTGTGATTTTAAATTTTGTTTATTTTATAATATATTAATCGATTTTTCAGAGTACAAATATTTAGTTTTGAAATTTTTGGTTTTTGATTGCTATGAACTCAGCTAATCCAGTACAAAAACGCTAGCAGATACGATCATATTGTTTTCCTAAAATTCCATAAAGAGATGTACATAGATGCATTTTTAATGTTCTGGAAAAATATGTAAAATTTCGACATATTATAATAAATATTTAAAAAATTTTAAATAGGTATATTAGCAACTGTCAAAGAAGTATATTTGAAAATGTAGAAATACTTTTTCAGTGTGTTTGAAAACAACAGTTTCATACCGATTCAATTAAAAATCAAAGTCTGGCAAATTTGAAGTTATGCCAGACACATTTTCAAAAAAACTTACTTGTAAATTAAGAAATGAAAACGAGAATTGACAATAACAAAATGACGCTTTTGCATTCAACTATCGAATAAAAATTCTGTTTTGTATTGATTTTTTTTTAACTGTCGCATTAGCAATATAAAAATTAAGCATCGTTGCTGTCATATCAGCTGTAATCTACAAAACTTAAACATGTAATTTTTGTCTATGCTCAAAAGGCTCATTTATCTTCACATTTCATAATATGCATACCAAACTATATTGAATTTTACAGTATTATTTTTAGTATTGCAGTATGAACTTTTTGAAGTATGTATTACGATATATCTGCACTATTGAAGTCAGGGTGGTATCAGTTTGTCAACTGAATTTCGAATTATTTCTAAATAATTAATTCTTTTTTTCCTTCTACTAAATAAAAAAATCTTAAAAGGGAAATAACATTAAAAAATAAAATTAAGTACTGAAGAATTTCTTACAATATATTTTATTTAAATATTGTTACACGTTACAATGTTTTGTTTTTAATTCTAAAAAAAAAAAAAAAACTTTAAACAAAATTATTTTTAAGAAAAGTTAAAATATTGAATTTGAGTTCTTTTTTTATTTTTTTTTTTTAAATCTTGAAACAAATCTTATTCAGTTGCTTAAATACAACACTATAATTAAAAAATTTCAAGTTAAAAATTAAAATTTTTGTCTGTATCAGTGGAAGAATTGATTTTTAATTCAAATTAAAAATATAAATTAGGTATAGTTTTTTTTTTTTTTTAAATTTATTATAATTAAAAACAAAAAAAAAAATCAATTTTTCACCCTAATCTAAAATATATAAGTAAATTTTTGATATTTAATTATAGTGCCTTTATAAATGTTTTAATTTTAATGTTTATTTTTTCTGCTATTATTCTTAATTAAATTTTTTATTAATACCATTAAAAGTACGGAAAAAAAATTAAATTTAATTTTTTTCGCTTTTTTTTTTTTTTGTTCTTTATATACATATATACATGTATTTTATATTATTGATATTTATACTTATATATTATATATTATTATTATATAATACAATGTAATTTTTAATTATACATGTATATTTTAATTAAATTGTAGGAGATTTAATTTTTTTTTTAAATTTTCCAAGAAAATACTTTTATTTTTATTTTTTTAGCGTCGAGAATCTGATCGGCTACGTCGATCACGTGAGAAACTTCTAGAACGGCTGCGTGAACTTCTTCGAGGTGATCTTGATCTGTAAATATAATGGAAAATTTTTGGAAAGGCAAAAAAAACAAAATATTTGTAAAAAAAAATATATTTAAAAAAAAAAAATTGGAAAAAACTATTTAAAAAAATGGTTTTTTTTTTTTTTTTTTTTTTGTGTCATTGAACAATAAATAAACTAAATCCTGCAAAAATAAGTTTTGTTCTTTTGTTTTATTTTTTTACAATCAATTTAATTTGATTTATGAAAAAAATTATGAAAATATGAAATTAAAAAAAAAAAAAAAATCAAATTATTTTTAGAAAACCAAATTGATTGTGTTTCTATTTTTTTTGTTTTATTAAAGCAATATAGCAAATATTTATATATTTAAATAAAATGTTATAAAAGAAAAAAGATATAGAATTTCAATATTAATATAAATATGTATGTATATATAAAAAAATATTAAAATAATAAGGAATCCGCAAAATACAAAACATTTATAAAACGAAAGTGTTATATACAAATGTTTTTAACTAAGGAATTAAAAAAAAAACTAAAATTTTTTGAATCGAAATCACTTTAAGGTCCAAAAATTAAATTTTTAAATAAAATTTTTAATTAAAAGATGCATTCTAAGTACACGCTATTATTTATAATAACTTAATTCGATTTCATTTTCGTATAAAATCTAATTTCCCTACAAAATTTTTAATTTTCCTAATATCCAATTACATACACTATTTATTAGAAGCTACATATTTTATACAAAGCTTAAGAATCATAATAAATAGTAAACAAATCAAGAATTTAGAATTATTTCCATTTTTAAGGGTTTCTATTAATTTTTTTTCTGATAATTTATTTCTTAAAATAGATTAATCACCTGTATTCTGTTAGTTCCATTAATTGACGTATTGAGTTGTTATTAAAAATTTCGAGTTTATCAGAATAGAATCAGAATTTTAAAATCTGAAATTCTATAATAATAAACAAAATTCCAGTAATCCATTACAAATATGGCATAAAGGAATTTTGTTATGGAATTATTATCCATTTCCTTAAGTAATGCAAATAACAAAATATGGGTGATTTTTCTTAAGTATTAACATGAAAGTTATAATTTTCTTACACTATCTATTTTCGAACATTATAAATTATTGATTCTTATTTGAGTTTTGAATGATTGTCGAAAAATTATTGAATAATTTTTTATTTTGTTTTATTTTTAAGGGTGTTCTGGGGTTTAATTTTTGTAATTGAATTAAAAGTTTATACATTATAAAAAAAAAATACTATAGAAATTACGATAATATTTAAATTCTTACGATAAGTTTATTAAATGAAATTTTAGTTTTCTATAATTATTTGCTACATTAAAATCTTAAAATAAATACAACTAATAAAATTTTTTAAATGAATAACCTTAAATAATTTCTAGTTGTATTTAAATTAAGTGGCTTAGCTTCAATATATTATTTATAGAAAAAAAAATATATATGTATCCTTATATTTTCTTTATATTTTTCATTTTAGAATTCTTATAATGGCTTAGAAATTTAATTTTTTTATTTAACAAATTATCTGAAATAATATCAAAACGATTAAACTTTTTCTACCTATTAATTATCATAGGATACAATGTTTCAAAATATTATTATATTCTATTCTATAAGTTATTACATTTTGGAATGTAAAACTAATAAAAAATATTTATTTTGTTTTTTTTTTTTTCTCACTAGTTCGGAAAAGGATTGTTCTAATGGAAAATGCAATGATTTTATATTAAATTCTATGAATATTATCTCAAAATTATAAATTTTGTTATGTATATGTGTATGTAAACTATGGAAATGAATGGTATTAATTTTTTTAATTTTAAATTTAAAAAACAAAATTGTCATTATAATATTGCTTGATCCTATATATACTTATATAATTTCAATATTTTTATTTCCTATTCCTTTTCGATACAAAGTTTCATTGATAAATTAGAATTTTATTTGATATAAACTTCTAATTCGGACAATAAAATACTGAAAGAATACAAGTATACAAAGGTGTTTTAAACAAAATTATTTTGAAATATCAAAAATTTTACGTTCGTAACATTAATTTAATATCACAAAAGCCAAAATAAAATTAACAAGTGAATTTTTTTTATATTAAATAAAAATTAGTGATAATTAATATACTGCAGATCATTACTATGTGTGACAAAGCCTAATATTTTTTTTCCTCTTCAAGTTATTTGAGTATTTAAATTTGAAAATAATTATTATTGAAGTTTAAAAATATTTAATAAATACAAGTATTTATATAAAAGCTAAGCTCTACAAACTCAAAAAATATATTAAGCAATCTTTGTGACATCAACTATGAATAATTTGTGTATATTATGCTGTAAAAATTTAAGCACGAATTTTGTTTTTTTACTTAGAAGGCAATCTATTAATTAAATTTTTGTTATCTAAAAAAAAAAAAATAAAAAAAATTTGTGATATAAACTCACTTTAAAATAAAAACAAACTAAAAAAAAAAAACTAATAAAAGCAACAAACAAACCACTAAAATGATGCCGTGGTCGATTCGGTGTGTTGGAGTAGAAACTAGTAGCATAGGAGATGGTTGTGACTTTGGCAGAGTAGTAGTACTAGTAGTGGCAGTATTACAGTAGCAGTAGTAGTTGAAGTAGATTTTTTCTAAACACTTGCTTAATTTTTTTATTAATGAACTGAATTCGATAGAAGAACGTTAGTAGAAGTAGTGTAGCATTGTAGCTAGTAGGGACCAGCAAACACTTGCATTTCATTTTTCTAAAAAGCAAAAACTTTTTCTTTTTGAGTTGATCTGAAGAATTGATTGATTCTTGATTGTGTCTTGAAGTTATAATTTGGCCTTTGCTTTTTTTCAATTTTGAAGCTTTGTGAAGTGGAGACCCGGTGTTGGAAACGAAGAGCAAAAATAACAAATATATTTGCTTTTGATTAGAGTTGCGTTTTTTTTTTTTTTGCTTCAAAATCAAAAATTTTTGTTTTCAAAACCCCCAAATAAGCTTTTGTTGTGATATGTAATATGATTTTCAATATGAATACAAGTTTTGGAGCATTTTTTTTTCTAACAATCTTCAATAGATGAATTAGTTGCTTTTGTGATTCTTGCATTGCAGCGATGATGCTGTGTAACTGTTTTCAACTGATATTGAAATTTTTTTTTCATTATGACGATTTTATGAAGAGTTGGTGATAATTTTTAAAGTAGGAACTGTGATATTGACTGTTGTGATTCAATTTTGATGAGAGAAAATCAAAAAAAAATATATTAATTTTAAAAATGATTCCAAAATAATATAAAAATAAAAACAAATTAATATACTTTGTTCAATTACAGTTGTTTTTTAAGATGTCACAATAAAGGAGATGATTTAGTAGTTTTTGTGTGAAGAAGTTGTTGTTGAAGAATGATGAGGCGAGCAAAAAAAATATATATGTCCTCATTGTGAATAAAAACACAATGACCTTTCTTGTAGAGTCTCATAGAGAAACGAATGCAATTGTTTTAATCAAAACCTTGTGCTATGTTGCTCTCTTCAGATTTACTTAAATAAAATTTTTAAAAGAGTAACAAATTTCCACGTTTAGGTTTCGTTTAGGAGCTTCCATGGAGAATTTTCAGTTTAGGACCATCAGGATTCAGGTAGGAAATTTTGTTTTTGGGATGTTAATACTGATAGGTAATAGTAAATTACATATTTTAGGTGAAATTTGGAATAAATTATTGTAAATAAAATTCTTTAATAATGTCAATTTAGTAAAAATAGCAGCTGTAACTTTGATAGGTGAAATATTGCTGAAAATGGAGTTCACTACTGCTATGATGTGTCGATTTTGGACGTTGTTTTTGTTGTCCTTAAATATATTGTTGAAACCGCTGTCACAAATGATATAACTGATGTTAACACGACTAATTAAAAAACAGTAGAAATCTATTGACTTGGTGAAAATGTTGGAGTTCATGATGATAGTGGTAGATGTGGTTTTATAATTGGTGGCTGTATTGGTAGTTAAAATAATAGTTGTTTTGGTGATATTGATGGTTTTATTGGTTGTGGTTGTGGAGTAGTAGCAGGAGGAGGAAGTAGAATTACTAGTAGTGGTAGAAGACGAAGACGAACAATTTATCCTGAAATTAATTTATCACAACGCCATATTTTTTTATTAAGTTCAAAAATTCAATCTTTTTTATGCTTTAGTAAAAATTAGAAAAAAAAACAATACAAAATCGTACAATTATAAACGCAATAAACATCATTTTACAAAACAATTGCAAAATATGTATGAATGGGTTTACACATATTTTGCTACAAGTTTTTGCAAAATGTTTTAAGACAAAACATTGGACAAACATAACTAAATTTTTCACGTATAACCTATAATATATTATTTATCTAAAACCTCCTCAAATAATTTTAAGTATCGATGAAAATGATTTGAATAATCATATGAATTTTTAAAAATTAGCACAATATTGTAGAATAACCAAAATTAGTTTCTTTTTTAAAAATTATTATTGAATATTATATTAATAATTTGTAAAACACACATTTTTAATTTCTTAAACGAAATTTTTAATCTTGTTATCATCTAATACTATTTTAATTTAATGAAATTGAAGAATGATTTTTTTAAATATGTTTCTATATCATGTTGACTTACCGATAACGACCAGCTCCTCGTCCACCACCTCCACCACCTCCCCGTCTTCTTTCTTCTCTTCTTGATTTTCCTGAAGACATTTCAACACGAATTCTTGTCCCACAACAGCGCCTAAATAATGTTTAATATTTATTAAAGTTCTGATGAAAAATTTAGGTAAATTCAATGTAAAGATGACTTGAAATCTTATGAAATTTACTAGATTAACTAATAAAATTATCCAAATATTAATAAAATTACTTACAATCTGTTTTTATTATGGATTATTCACATTTTTAAAAGCACTATTTTTAACAGAAAAATTTTGCTCTATTTTATTATGTATATATATATATACATAATGAAAACTACTTACGTTCCATCTAATCCTCTTACTGCATCTTCAGCATCGCGTCTGTCTTCAAATTCAACAAAAGCAAAACCTGGTGGATTTCTTGCTACCCAAACATTTCTTAAAGGCCCATATTTGCTAAATGCATATTCAATTTCATATTTTGAAGCTGAAGATCCTAAATTACCAACATAAACTTTACAAGCCAAATCCCATTCACGATAGCGTGGCATTCTGCTTTTAATTTAACCTAAAATTATTTTTAAGTTTATAGGAAAAATTAGAAATTTACTTTGAGGAATTTTTTTCTTATAACCTAAATAATATAATTAGAAAGGAAAAATTAAACTAAAATTTTAATAAATTTACATATACATATGTATGTATTCATATAACGTGTCGCCATTTTTTTTTTCTATTAGCATCTACATGTAGCATGGTTTCAAACTTGTTCTTTTTTATTTTATTACACAATAGTTTTAAACAAGGAATATTACTTACAATTATACTCCGATCAAAACAAAAAACAATATAAATTATATTTGAATTTTATTATAAATTTTTAAAATTTTAATTTGTAATTTTTATTCCTTTCAAAAATTTTCTATGCTAAATATACGAAAGTCAATTTTTACAATAAAAATCAAAGATGGAGGACGGCATTACCTCAGTTGACAAATGACAAGTTAATTTTATGGTGTTAATAATTTTGTGTCACTAAAAGTGCACATTCATATAAAAGTGTGAACCGCTCTTTCGAGCTTCGAGTGGAATATAATATTTGAAGATAAATAGGGCTGCCAGTCACTTTCCGAAAAAATACAGTTATGTACCGTTAGGCAACTAATATCAAAATATTATTCTAAACATTGTTCTAAATATTTTGCAGTAAGCAATAATGTGGTTGACAGTCGATTTCTACAAGAATATCAATCAGATTTTTAAAATAAAATAACCTGAATGGTTTTTTTTTGTGGGAAATTCAAGTTACATCCGAATTATTATGGAAATGCACAGTATTTACTATTAATGGTATACTTCATTTAAGTAAATTTTTATTTTTCAAATATTGCCCATGGTTTTTAATCTATTCTTGTTGCAGGGATTTCTACCTGAATAGTCTTGCATTTGTTGATCAGTAATTTTAATTGCTAGCGGTTACTTTCCACAAATTCATGCAGTTCATTTGATTTTAGTAAGCCGAATCGTATTTTTGTGGGCAGTATAGTAGAATATAAGTGTTAGATCGTATGTACATAAATCAACAATAATGTGGATAATGCGATTTTGAAGGAAATAAAATAGCCAATATATAATTTATTGCTTATTTACTTATATTTTCAGTTTTATGCCAAGAAAATTAAATTAAATATATATATATAAATTTTTAATTAATTTATTAAGAAATTTCTTAATTACATATATATATATATATAACTATATCTAATTAGTTACTCTTAGTGTATGCTTTGTGTGAATTAATGAAAAATATGGAATAGAATTAAAAAAAAAAGAATTATTGTTTTTATTTTAATTTGTATAAAAAAGTTTTAATATTTAGAACAAATTTTTTTTTGTATTATTTTCTGCCTTACTAGTTTATTTGATCTTTGTTTAGTTTGAATTTCAGTGATCCGATTCAAAAAATTGTGATATCTCTGCTTTATTAATAAATATTACAAAAATTATATAATATCTATGTTAATTTTCAACTCAAGTTCTATTGTAATTTATTAAGATCCAATCATTTTATAATATAATCGAAAAACTTTATGTATATATAGGTATAACAAAGACGTAACGAAGTTTTATTTTCAATATACTTTTATAATTATAATAATTTTATATGATCAAATCATATAATAGATAATATATATACATATATATAATATTTATGTGTAGGTATAAAATTTTTCAATGGGCAATGATGTATGCATATGTACAGATTTTATTACTCTTTTAAACAAAAAAAGTATCAAATTTTTCTTTATAAGTATCAAAATTTAATAATTTTAATTACGTAACGGTTGACAAAAGCTTCTGTCATAATTGTCACAAAATTGTGAATGAAAGATAAATGAGTGAAATACAAAAACCATTTTTCACCAAAGAAAAAATTAGTGAATGATAAAGAGAGCTGTATTACTCTTTTTTTTTTATTGATGACACCGAGCTTTTTTTTCATTAAAATTACAATGCACAATGGCAACTATTCTTGAAGATTAACTTTTTACTGATGACATTAAAATGAATGATAGCTTCACAAAAATGTGAATAATAACAACTATGATGATAGGTCTCATTTTTTTTAGGTATAAAATACTTTTTTAAAGTAAAAAAACATAATTATAAATTTTTTTTGTAAATTCGGCTTTTCTATTTGTTTTCTATAGCAATCAATTTTTTGTATTAAAAAACAAATATTCATTTCAATTTATGTTATTAAAAAAAATAGTTTCTATTTAGCACTTAGGTCGAGCATTTGAAATTCGTAAAAAATGCGTCTTTCTGATCATTATACAAAATTTGAGGCTTGTAGTGGGTAAAAGGTAAAATGACATTTATGTTTTTGAATTCTGATTTTTGACACATCTACAATTAAGAAAACTATTTATTAATGTGTAGAAAAGAGAGAAAACATTTTCGGAAAAAAGACTAAGTGAGATTTTGTACAAATGAAACAGACGATTCATTTAATTGTTTTGAATTCTTTTTTATGAAACCTGTAGAAAAATAAGGAAATTTACATTATTTAGTCATAGAATTTTGGGTTAGGTTTGGTACGAAAGATGAATCTATTCTGTTTTTATAAAAACTGTAAAAATAAAATTAATCATAACATAAATGGACGCAATATGGGATATTCTGTTGTCAATTAAATGATTGTAGTATAATTAATTCCAATACCAAACACCCGGAATCAAAAATTCGAATACGATATCAATTGCTTTGACAACTGTATGTCATGCCAATAGTTTACTATTTAGGAATATCACTAAGATACATATTTCTTTTTGGTCACCTGTTTTAAACTTAATCAAATAATTCATAAAAATTTTATAATATAGCAAAAAAAAATAATTTTTATGTACATAATTATGTTCATATACTATTTTTGAATTGATTTACTGAGGCTTATATTCTGAGTATCGAAACTAGTGATAATGACAATTTTTTTCAATTCGCATATTTATATGATTTAGCGGTAAATGTCATTATCACTTAGTGATTTCATGCTCAAAATATGTCCTGTTATTCCTTTTGCATTTAGTTGTTATATTTTATATATATGTATATATATAATGAAAAATTTTTTAACATCAATTTTGAATTATTTATTATTTTCTTATATATATATATATATATATATATATATATATATTTTGTATTTAATTTTTGTTTTTTTTTTTTTAGTTTTGTTTTTTTATAGAATAGAGACAAATATATAAATGTGTATATATATTTTTTTTACTATGTAATATTTCCCCTTATCTAAAAAGTATTGCCAATTTTTAAAAATTTTTTGGTATTTTTTCTTTTTTTTAATTTTTTATAATTTATTTATTGTTTAATTTACATTTACAATTTCATTAGTAAAATTTGTTTTAATAATATTATATATATATTTATTAATTTTTTTATGATTAATTTCATTAATAATATAATATCATATATATGTATATATATATATGTTAATACATTTATACATATATGTATATATATATATATATATACATATACATATATATACATATATATAAATACATATATATATATATATATATATATATATATATATATGCATATATATATATTATATATATATATGTATATATGCATTTATATACATATATGTAAATATATATTATATATGTATATATATATACATATTATGGATATATATATATATATGTAATTTTTGATGTTTGGATTAACATTTTCTGTTTTAATTTATTTTATATTTGTTTTTCATGTTTGTTATTTAGGTTTTTTTCTTTTTTTGGCCACAATATTTGCTTTCATTTAGTTATTATATAATATGTTACTTGTTTAGGAAATATATCGAATATGACATTGCAAATAAGTTTTGTGAGCCTCTTATGTTAAAACTAAAAAAGAATTGAAAAAAAAATAAATGCTTTTAATAATTAAAAATAAAATAATTTAATTGCGTGTTTAATTTCAAATAAAATAAAGGGCAATGGGGCGGGGAAGGTGGGGGTTGTTTAGTGAAGTGATTCTGCTTAGTTATAATGATTTTTATCGTAAAAAATAAAGTATCATTAGTCTAATCTAAACATAAACCAACCAAGTCATACAAATGGTTTGTGTTTTTAATGAAATTTTTAAAATTTTTACGATATATGTTTCTTATTAGCATGTAAAGTCAACACAATTGAGAAAGGTCGTTGCCTGGTATATCAAAGATTTAACGATCATGTCAATTACGTCAGAACGAAAATCATCTGCAATTAAGCAATTATTTTCAATAACAATTTAAAAACCCTATTTTTAAATTTAAAAATCACTTGAGCAACAATGAGTTGCGTTGGTAACGTATGTTGTAAAATATGACGCATACGGCATGTCGCGTTGGAATTAATGGTTAACGACAGTTGCAAGCATTTGATATACTGAGAAACTACCAAATGAAAGAAAACTTTATGTGAATATTATAATTTTATATTGTTTTTTCAATCAAGTTTTTAAAAAGTCTAAAAGATTTATTAAAAATATAGCGTAACTCTTCGAGATGAAGAATAATTAAGGTTCATTAATGATTTTATGTATATAAATTTTTAAGTTTGAAACATATATATTATCATCATGGTTATCGGAGGATAAATACAAGATTTTATCGTGACGATAAGATTTAGCTTTAAACAATGATATGATCTTGTGTTATGAACTTATAAATATGTAACAAAATTTAAGGTGACTTTACTAGAATCTAATTGAATGACAATTAAAATATTTTGAAAATGAGTGAAAAATGTAAAAGGCACACCACTTTTGTTTTGTTCATTTTGTATTTTTTGTTGATTTCTCAATTTAATTTATGGAATCGTTTTAAGTTTTGTGTAATTTTAAAAAAAAAAAATAAATTTTAAAAATTATTTTGGAATTTTTTTTTTTAACAATTTTTTGTAAAATTTAAATTTTAGATTTAATTGAAAATAATGGTAAATAATTAATTAGAAATTTCAAATAATTTTATTAAAATTTTATTAAAATTGTAGTGATTATTTAAAATGAGAATAATTTTTTTAATGACATAACCGATAAATTTTAGGTAATTTACTGTTGGGCCCACAAATTTCATTGTCGGTTTTTTTTTTTTTATTTTATTCATTTCTAATTTTTTTTTATTTGTTTTAACTTTAAGTTATTTAATTAATATACTTAATTTTTTTTTTTTTTTGATTTTGAAATTATTTACATTTTATAATTAGAATAATTTAATTTTTATAATATTTATTTAATAAATATAATTATTAATAACTATATTTTATAATTAACAAAATTAAATAAAATGAAATTGCACAATATCAATTGAATCATCTAAGAATATTATATACATATTAATATTTATAATAATTATATAATAAATTATATATTATATAAATTTATATAATTATTGCTAATTATTTATTTTAATTTCTTTTTTGACAAAATTATTTATAATTACAATGTAAATGTAATTATTTTTAATTATATTTATACATATTTTATTTATTTATTCTTATATTTGTGTATATAATTATAATTTATACTTATATACCGCATATATTTTGATAAGAATTATATTTTGTTGTTGATACAATAACTAAAAAATGAATTAATTAAATTTTTCTAAAAATTTAAGTATGTTTTTCTTAATTTTTTTTTTTTTAATTATTTTTTTTTTAAATAGTTGTTAAAAATGTTAACACGGACGGTGTTTTAAATTTCTTTTATTTTGTAAACTTGGTTTGTTTTTTTTTTAATATTTTTTTATAATTTTCTTTGTTCTGTTTATGTCAAGTAAAATTACAATTATTCATTTCGTAAATGCCAACGTATTCTACGAATAATAATTAAAAGTTCTATATTTAAAATTATTTGCTTGAATTTAAAAATATATAATTATAATTATGCGCTGGTTATTTGTAATGACTGGTATATTAAGGTTATTTGTAATGACCGAGATATTAAGGTTAATTTTGAAAACAATAGTAATAATCTTTAATCGAAAACGTCTTCTGCAATTGGAGACGAATTTGGAGATATTACAAATTTAAAACTGTATTTATTGTTGTCAACAGCATTTAAAATCAAAAAGCAACTTCGAAATAATATTTCGAATATTGAGCATAATAAAAGTGTCATCATATTTATAGAAATGGAAGTCTTGAATTTATATTTTGAATTATGAACTAATAGAACTGATGTACTTGATAGTATATCAGTTATATTAACTATTAATAATAAATTACATGTTAGTAAATTAAAGATATGCGCATAAGACAAAAATGACATATGTTAAGCAAAATATATAAGAAAAGATAGATCTTTGATATTTTAAAAAAAAAATTTAAATTAAGAAAATTTCTATTAGTTCTGTTTAAAAATTATTAAAAGACATGCTGCACCTTAAATTATTTTTTAATATTCAGTTTTAGCTTTAAAATAGCATAGTGTATGTCTTAATATACTCTTACAATAAATAAATTTTACAGTATGTGATAAAAGTATAAAATAAAATATGCAAATAATTTAAAATGTAAAAAATTTATAAAATATTTATTTTTTTTTTCAATTGGAATGATTAAATTATTTTAATACTCATAAATTTATTAAAATAATAAATAAATTTTGATAGTTTTGTTTTATTAAAAATAACTATAAAATTGTTTTGAGCAAAAATTCTTCTTTTTCTATATATAACATTGTAATTATATAGTAGCGACTAGAATTAATCTTAATTTTAAGGAATGACAATGTTTTGTTTTTACCATTATTGATTTTGCAAAATAATATTTTATAAAATAAAAAAGAACGGCAACAGTCAACATTTGAAACTAATTTTGAATTTATATTGTAGATTCCTATGCGAGACAAGAAATTATTTTAGAGATTTATAAAAGAGTTAAACCTTTTCCGATTGAAATACTTCTTAAGAAATAAGTTTTTATGTTTTCTTTAAAAATTTTATGTAATTAAGTAAATTTCAAAAGTTCAATTGTTCTTATTTTCCATAATATTGAAATTTTAGTTTTGATTTCTTATTCGATTTTAAATTTGCTGCAACATTCTATTCATAAAGAAAATTCAGCAATTAGAATTTATAAACTGAATTGTGGATTAACCCTATATTACTGTAAGATTGAAATCTTGAGGGAGTTTTAAGTATATTTTAATACATTACGTATGTTCTGTGATTCGGCGAAAAAATTCTAGAATAATTAAATAAAAACATTAAAAAGCATAAATATTGTAATTATGATTTATGAAAATTATTAATTAACTCATGTCCATTCTATAAATTTATTTTATTTATATAATTATAACTTTTAAGTTATTATCGTGATAATTATTTAGATAATTACATAATATTATATAATATTGTATGTTAGAAAGAATTAAAACATAATTTTCATAAAATTTCAAATTCAAATAAGTGTTATTGATTTATGTAAATGCTTAGTTTTTGTAATGTATATATAAAGAAATGCAATACACAGAGGGTAATAATTAATTATTTCAGTCATAATATAAAAATGTAAGTATGTATATATAGGTAACAGTCAATATTAAAGTTAACAATGGACTAGATAGTTTTTGATTTTTCTTTTTTTTTCTTTATTTGGTAAGTCAGTTATTATTATGATGGGGTTATTTTGGGGCTGTAAAATAAAAATTTTAATATTATATTAAGGAAAATTATATTGCAATCTAAACAAATTTTATAATATTATTATTTAAAGATATTTTTAATTTGACTATCCGAATATTGGTAACATTATTATAGCAAAAATTAGTTTTACAAAACTTTACCTTTTAAAATCATGTTACCAATATTTCAATTGTTCTTTGAATAAATAAATTTTTTATTTTTATATTCAGTTCTTAAAATAAAATATCAATATTATTCAACGCCTTTATATAGTGTATTATGTATTAAAATTGTAGATGATTTGAAAATTAAATTAGTTTGTTTTTATGTTCTTGAATTTTTTAAATACATTTTACTACAATTTAATTAAATTTTATAATTAATATGGTGTAAAGTAATGAGGCTACAAAATATAGTCATTGAAATTTTTGTATTATGAGTCAAAAAAAAAAAAAAATTATAGAAGAACTTTTATAAAAGTGCAGTCTCATTTATCTACACATGATAAAATTGGTGTTTTTATATAATATGCAAAAACTATATAGTTAGAGCCCCCATTATTGAAACGGGTGGTATTTTATGTCTTTTCTTTTTGGTATAACATAAAAGTTTAAAATTTTTAAAAATTTCAATTTATTTTATTTGTTTCAAATAAATGAAAAATTAAAAATTATAAAATTAACAAATAAATAATTTTAATATTTATTATAAATAAAAATAATTTACATAATTTTTTAATTAAAATTAATTAAATTAATATTTAAATCACATTGTATGGTAGATTAAATAATAAATTAATTTTAAATATTTGTTTTTTTTTTTTTGTTTTTCTAAATAAAATAAAATTATTTTTTGATGTGACATTTATTTAGCATTCATATTTGTATTGTATACTAATTGTGTGATCAATAAAGTAATTTTAATTTTTTCATTACATTATAATTTATATTGTTTTCTTTTTTTAATATTTTATTTATTATTTCCTAGTTCTGTTTCATATTATTTATTATTACAATTCATATAACTATTTATTGTTAACATACTTTTTGTTTTTGTTTCAAAACTAGCGTTTTAAAAACAAAAATTCATTTTATTTAAATTTAATGCTTATTTATAATTTAAATAATATTATAAAACACGAAATGGGAATAATAATTTTCTATTTATTATATAGAGAATGAGAACCGATCATGTTAAAAATAGAAATATTTAATTTGAATATGCTTTGGTTTTTGATCATATTACCGGAATTTCAAATTTTATTTTTAAAATGCACTAGTAATTTATTTTAATTTTTGTTTTTAAATAATAAATATAAATTCTATTAATATATTTTAGTCTTAATTGAATGTATTTAGTGTTTAAAGGTAAAAATAATACTGAATTATTGTTAAAACTAATGCAGAATTTTATGGCTTTGTTCATATTTTGCTTTTGATCAAATAAAATATAAGAAAATCGAAATATTCATTTGATTACAATTTATTTAAAATAAATTTTATTTTTATAAATAAATTTTAATTTTTTGTTTTTACATTTAAAAAATCAATTTTAAAATGATCGGTTTCTCTTTCTCATATAGATAGAATTTTGATTTTATTGTAATCATTCTTTAAATGACTAGAAAAATTTTGGCTTTAAAATAAATTACAATGAATTTAAATAAATATAATTATAAATTAACTTAAGATAAAAAATTTTTTAATATTAATTTTTTTTTTGAATGTTCTGGTATTTTTTTTTTTCTTTTTTTTTTTTGTTATTTGTTTTACATAGATAATTATTTTTATTATTCTAGATATCACGATAATTCCGTGGAGTATTGTGTCTCCAAGGTGGGTGGCCGTCTTGAATTCCTTGGTTGACTACGTAACGGTGGCCCAGGACTACCATATCCTGCTGCATATAGTTGAGGACATGAGTCTTTTATTAATTCTTGTGTTTCACGTAATTGTCGCTGTACCTGTGGCGCTAAACGCTGAACACTAATTGCAGGTGGAAATCTATATTCTGGAGGCGCTTGTGGTACCTAAAATTCATATTTAATTAAGTAAATTAATGTTACAGAAATTTAAAATATTTGTTTTTATATAATATTATAAAATATTTAATATACCTGCATAGGATGTAAAACTTCACCAAAATATGTTTGCGGTTGAGGTTGGCCATAATATTGTGAGATTTGCATTGCTGTGGGCATTACTCCAGGTGGTTGAGAAGTTTGATTTTGAGGTTGTTGTTGTTGCTGTTGCTGTTGTTGTGATTGTTGTTGTTGCTGTTGTTGTGATTGCAATTGTTGTTGTGTAATACCGCTAACCATTCCCATTGATATTAAATTTGGTGGTCTAGGTCTTGTACCTAATCCCATTGGTGCACCCATCATCATTATTTGTTGTTGTTGTGCTTGCATTTGTAATGGAACTGCTTGTGGCCCAATAGCATATGAAGAATGAATACCAGTTGCTTGAGATGTTATAACCATTGTACGAGGATCTCCAATACGTTTCGGACTCATATTCATTGAATTTTTACCGATAAGTTGAGCTTGAGGTGAACCAGAAACTGGTATCATAACACTGCTAACATTCATCATCATATGTGGTGGACCATTACCGCTAACTAAAGCTTGCTGTTGCTGCTGTTGTATTATTTGATGTTGTGTTAATACCATACCAGGCGGTTGTGTATTATGATGTGTTAATATATCTGCTGTACTAAGTGGTTGTTGTAATGTCGCTAATGAATTCATTGTGGCACGTATTAAACCAGCCGGTTGAGGATGTCTATTTAATGAGGATACTGCAGTTGTTGTAATTGGCACTTGACGTACTGGTGTAGTTTGTAGCGATCTACTCGCTGATGAACACAACGATGCTGTTAGGCTTGCTGATTCCCAATGTTGAACAAGAGCATTTAAACGTGCCTCTTCTAATGCTATTTCTGTTTCACTATTTGAATCATAATCGGGACCCTAAAAAATATATACATATATAATTTTAATATTAAAAAATCTGACCTTGTTTTTTCATATTATTATTTTATTTAATTTAAACTTACATCTTCTATTTTTTGATCTAACATTTTGAAAAAATTTTGCTGACTAGTAGATATTTCCCTAGAAATAATAAGTCACTTAAAAATTAAAAATAGGAAATTAAAATTTATCTTACTGGCTTTGTAATAAAGATAGGTTTTTAGCTCGAATTAAAGAAACCGAAATTTCTCCATTAGCTTCAGGAGATCCTTTCTCATCTGACGGGCTTGTATCATCCTCATTGATCCGATGGTCTTTGTCACGATTTATGTCTTTTTCATTGCCACCTTCCTCATCATTTCCGATATGCCCTTCTTCTTCGTCAGCATCAGTGTCTGTGTCTGCTGTAAATATAAAAAAACAAATTTTTTTGTGTGTTAAAATTTTCTACATAATAATATTTTTATAAATATGAACTAGATTTACAAAAAATATTTGACGTATAGAATAATTTAACATGACATTTAAAGAAGAAAAAGCAATGAACATTAGCAACGGTAAATTAATCATTTGGTTTTTAAAATTCCTTAAGATGGCATACTATAAAAAAAAACCGGTTTGTTTTCTCCAAATTTTTATAATAATTTTTTTCATCCCAAATATATGCAATTTAAAATAAAATTAAAAATATATTTTTATGTTGTATGGATGGATGCCTAGTGAAATGCGTTTAGACAAAATTAAATTGGAGCATATTTTGTTTGGCGGAAGTAAAAAATAAGAAAGAAAAGAAAAAAAAAATTTTGTAATGAAATGAATGAAAGAAACAGGAAGAGAATGAGAAGTAAAAAAGTTTCTTGTTTTGTAATTTATCTAAAATGTTTTCTTTTTGTTTATGTTTAGAAAAATTTTAACGAGTCGTAAAATGTGTAATTTATTTAAATTTGAAGGTGGAATACATTTTTATATTTATTTTTATATTATAATACAAGTATAATGGAAGGGAGAACATATACATTAAATAAGATAAAAAGAAATCCAAAATAATTTATATTTAGCATACACGCATATTTTAATATCAGAGAGTAAAGCGATTTGTTGTGACGAAGACGCGAAGAGTTTTTTTTTTATTATTATATAAATTATATTGGAAACAATAGGAATGATCTGATTTCATTGTATAATATATTATACATTGGCGAATATATGCTAATTTTCTCAATTATACTTTAAAATCGAATTTTCAATTAAAATTTTCTAAATAAGGATGAAAGTATTCTGTAGAAATTATTTAAATATTAACTGCGAGCTATGATTTTTTTTTAAATTTTTATCTTTAGGACGTATAACACTTATATTAAAGTATAACACTGCCGCTTACAAAATATGCCAATATAATTGTCAAATAGGTAAATTTTTACTTATTTAGATTTTAATTTTCAATTAAAGTTTTTGAATTTGATTGATTTTTGTATTCGCTTCTCAATACTGTTCTCGTTCGCCTTCCGCCTGACGAAGTTTCATCATATTATATACTTATACATTATGATTTTGATTGCTTATTTAAAATTTTTTAAAATAGAAACATTTAATATGATTTTTTTTTTAAAATATTATTAAAATATTTAAAATATTTTCATAGATCGGCGGCATGTTAAAAAATCAATTTTTTTTTTGTTTCAACTGAAAACATAATTTTTTTGCTTTAGAATTTAAAATTTTTGTTAATTTTAATATTAAGTGACTTTTAAAATTTTTGGCATTAATGTTAACATGACATAAAATGCTTAATATAAATTTGAAATATATATACAGTGCCGAATTAGATTATAACAGTGAAGATACAAAATAAGATCAAATTTTACAAAATTGAGGGCGTTGTGATCCGGAATGATAAATTCGCACCAAATTTATAATATAAAATGGAAAATGCAAAATATATAGTTCAATAAATTTAACAACATTAAAATGTTCTTGATTAAACTTCATTAACTTTATTATTAAAAGGTAGCATTAACAATGAAGAGGTAAGGGCATTTTCAAAGAAAATATATAAGTAATACATTTTCCATCTTTTTAGGGATTCTATATTCCTATAAGGCGCAATAAACTTACTTCGAGGTTATGTAAGTATATAAAAGAATGTTATGTAAGAATTTAAATGATAAAATTATCTTTTAAATTGAAAAATTGAAGAGAAATACAGATAAATAAGGATTTAGTTTTCTCTTAATCTGGATTGGTGAACGTTAAAGGGTGGCCTTGAAGACTTTATGCTTGCTATGTGGGATAACCCTGTGATGGGTTCCAGGGCACAGTAATATCATAGAAAATTAAAGGGTCGCCGAGTTTCCGCTCTAATGCGGAGGAGCACATGTTTTTTAGCAGAATATCAGTTTGACAGACTAGAGGAACTCTCAGGGCACCTATTGGTGATCTGCTGTTGAGCTTTGACAAGGGTCATAGAATTTTACCGGGAGGGATGTCGATGGTATTTGAATTAGCCTAGTGCTGAGTGTTAGCGTGCCACCTCTCCCCCCTTTTTTTAATTAATTTAAATGAAATTAATTGTTTCTACTATAGCATAACACTAAAAAAAAAACCAATTTAAAATCAATCAACTTTCTTTAAGAATTGAAATCCATTTCATACACCATAAGACACATCTGTATATAAACTTTGTATATTTGTTCAACTGCATTATTTTTAATTGTTTTCAAAGGATATTAAACCACTTAAAATTATAAAGTGCAAAAATTAATTTTATATTTAAGTTTGTATATAATTGCATATTATTTTAATATAATGATAATATTAAAAATGCAATTGAATTAATGGTAATAACAATTTTCTTTTTTGTTTAGAATATCATTTAATTGAAAAATTCTTATACCTATATATACAAAATGGATAATAATCTCAAAAACAAATTACTTAAAAAATTATATGTACATAATATTATTTTTCATTTAATTGTTTCTTATATCAAAGAGTAAATGATACACGTGTTACTCCCCCCCCCCCCTCTATATTTACATATATATACTAATTCTTATTCATTTGCAATCTGTTCACAGCATAATTATTATTACTGTATATACATACCTATATCTAGAGAGAGAGAGAGAAACAATGAAATTTAAAAGATTGAAAAATTTGTTTTCATATAGTTAGTTTTTTTTATATTATAGACATATATATACAAATATATCTTCCAAGGATATTTATAATTATATATTGTGTATGTCAGAATATTATTAAGTAAGAAACAATTTAAGTTATCCTTCTGATGAATATAATGTATATATAGAAAAATTGAAATGAGAGCACAAAAAATAATAAAAAAAAAAAAACAGCTTGACAGGATAATTACTCTTTATTTTATTGATAGCAATTATTATTTTAATGCAGTAAAATGTCGGACGCCTCTAAATTCTATAAAATTTTCCAAACAGATATTTTTATTTTTATGTATACATATAGGTATATGTACAAGTACGCTATTATATAGTCAAGTTAAAGTTAAATGGATCACAAGGGATTTAATTTCATCTTTTTTGTTTCTTAATTTTTTTAATTTGTACCAATCTTCTATGGTCTTCATAATAATGAACAATTATTATTTTATATAAAATATTAATTTTTATTATTAAGCAATAGATATAAAATTATATTATATTGTAGAATAAAAAATGGTAAATAATATTATTAAAAATAATTATTTATTTAAAATGAAAAAAAAAACAATGGCGAAACCAAAAATTACTTACAAATTTGTATTCTTTAAATGTTTTCAAATCATAATTTAAAAATATTTTTAGTAAAAAATACCACACCAAATGGTGCCAAATATACCCTTAAAGATACCAATAATCATTTCATCTTTAATATTTGCAAATATTTTCTGATAAACAATTAAAATTAAATTTATAATTATGGTGAATTTTAAGATGAAATTTTATTCAACTCCAACAGTTCTGAAAATGAGTGAAAAATTTTAATTATATTCATAGATTTTTTGCTATTAAAATATGAAATTTCTATTCATTATTCTTATATTTTTATTTTAGAAGATTTTAGGAATAGTTCTAAAATAATTTTAAGTCAAAACTTGTAAATTATATGCTAACTTTTATGTTTTATTAAAAAAAATGTTGACTTGCAATATAAACCTTGCAATCACAAACATGTATAAACATTATAAGTTTTAATATAATTGTTATTTGAATCGACACCTTAATAGTTGGCATTTATTTAAAGGCTGGTCGCGACTCAGTTGGTCAAATTTCGATGAGAGGTTTACCTTCCAATCAACCAATATAGTGTTTTCAAAAGCTGTAATCGAGGTCGGATTGTCAATATGATTGACATAAACAAATTATTTCGCACATATATGTATTGTTTTAGCATCTTAAAAAAGTTATCTAAAGACATCAATTGTTTTAGCGTACAATATTGACAGATAACCGACTATATACCCAATAATTGTTAAATATTAATATTTTTGAAGAATTTCCCAAGTTCTACTCTTTACAGTCAAATACTTAACAAAACTTAATTAATAATCACGAAATTTCAAATAGCAGTCGAATTCTGAGTCGATAAATGTCGGAACCCTATATTTAGATGGATATGAGGTAGTTATTTTACTATATCTCAGAAATTATTGAAGCTGTGTCATTGACATATCTGTTATGTGTTATAAAAATCGTTGAATTTATTGATTTCTAGTTGTGGCTGCCATACAACTTCAATAGTTGTTTGGTCGGATCTTAAACTATTGAGATTTACAGTACTGAAATTCTGCATAAATTAATATGGTAATACGAGTACGTCTACTATTAATTTCATGCCAACGTGTGTTCGAAGGGTATTATAAATTTGCCAATTGGATGTCAAGTCCGTACTCGTATTACAGAGTTGATATGATCAACTTTATTTTTTCTCGTAAAATATAAAAAATATGAAATTAAAATGTTATACAAAATGTATAAGAATATTAAATGTTTTTCGTCTTTAATAATTGAAAGTTCTCTTTCACTTTCAAATTTCTGTCAAACTTTTTGATTATTAATTCATCAGTTCGCTTCATATACATATAAATACATACTTATATGTAAGTATAACAAAAACGCTTTTCAATAACGTTTCCTCAACACAACGAGATTTAATTGCTTTTCTTTAAGTTTAAAGAGAAAATATAAAGAAAAAGGAAAAGTTTTCATTTTTTGTTTTTTGTGTTTTGCATTTTCATTTCTATAGAACATTATACCGTATGGTTTTTAAACGCATTATAAAGGACACATTCTTATTGTGTATATACATACATACGTTATATATGAATGTGTTTATATATATATAAATTATATTTATTAGAGTATGTACAAAATATTTAATACGA